TCAGTTAGCCGACCGCCAAAATCCACTTGGGTTTTGTTGAGGTGATACTGAGACATAAAGTGAGGTTGTGGAAGGATTACATTGCATCAGTAATGGAAAAAGTAAAAACAACCTCATAAGGATGAAAGAAGAAAAAGAAAAGGAAAACATAATAGAAAGAGACTTACCTGAGACATAAAGTGAGGTTGTGGAAGGATGAGGAAAGAGAAGCCTTCCACGCACTCACTCATGTCTCAGGTAAACTACAATACTAGTGACATGTGAGTGAAATGTATGTAGCACATGACTGAGAGACGGAATAGAGCACTGTGAAATCCGACAGGTTTTGGGTTAGCAACTCCCAACCCCTTCGGGGGTTGGTATTTTTTTTTTGAGTAAATTTGATGGGGATTTGACTCCCAAACCCACTGACGGGTTTGGGGGATTGACTCCCATTTCCAGGGGAGATTAGAGATGGGCACTTTGCATCCGGATATCCGGCTGCTTTTTCCGGGGAAAGCGGCATCCGCATCCCCTGGCAGATATCCCCCCGCCTTAGCGGGTATCCGAGCGGATATCCTCGGATACCCGCCCTCCAAATGGCCAGCGAGGCACATCCTCGCCGGCTGGAAGGGTTTCCTTCCAGTCGACAAGGTACACGTACCTTGCCAGCTGGCAAGGTACAGTCTCCTCCCAGATGTTTATAGCCATCTGTTTTGAGCTCCACAGCAGGAGCGCAAAAACTTTGAGTCACAAAAGTTTTTGGAATGGTGGAAAATGGGTTTCAAAGAATGAATATGAAAAAATAATAACAAAAATCAAGATTTCAAAATTTGTGAAAAAGATAAAAGAAAATCGACTTTTTTGAAAACTTTAATTTTTTGTTTGAGTGAAAAGTGAACACACAGAGTGCAAGTTTGGAACATGAAAAGAATGATTATAAATGAAAAATATTGATCCAAAAAAAGTTTGAGCATGGTGGGTGCACACCCTGCAGTCAAAATTAGTAGATTGAAGTACCAGAATGCCACATTTCTTGATGAATAACCCCCTAGGCACCCTTTTTAAACCACCAAGTATTCATTTTTTTTCCAAATTTTCACTTCTTATTATTCATTCTAGATCTCATCCTATCAATTCGGAGATTTCATCTTTTCCTGAAAGAAATATTAGAGCTGTCAGTTTTTGTGATTTTCTCCTTTTTACTTTTTACAAATTTTTGAATCTTGTTTATCATTATTATTTTTTCATATTCATTCTTTGAGACCCATTTTCCACCATTCCACCAACTCTTGTGACTTGAAATTTTTGGGTTCTAGGCATGGAGCTCAAAACAGATGGCTATAAACATCTGGGAGGAGACTGTACATGTACCTTGACGGCTGGAAGGAAACCCTTCCAGTCGGCGAGGTACATGTACCTCGACGGCTGGAAGGAAGCCCTTCCAGTCGGTGAGGTACATGCCTCGCCGGCTGGAAGGCAACCCTTCCAGTCGACGAGGTACATGCCTTGCCGACTGGAAGGACCTTGCCGGCTGGAAGGAAACCCTTCCAGCCGGCCATTGGTCTCGGGTATCCCAGGGGATACCCAGATATCTGCCGGGATTTGGGGGGGGGGAAAGGACATCCGCACCCAAATCCGCATCCCCTGGCAGATATCCGCCAGCGGATAGCGGATATCCGCAACGGATTATCCCCGCCCATCTCTAGGGGAGATTGGTGGATTTTTTGGGGTTTTGGGGGTTTGGGAGTCAATTAGCCAAGACCCTATAATTATCATCATCTGAATAATAAAATAGTTTATTCAAAAGGCATTTACTATTATTAAGTATTATCTCTAAGACTGTCAGATCAGTACTGCCTTCAGGTACTGCTCTGATTTCCTTTTATCATATTATCAATTGTATCTTTTTAAAAGAGTTGATACTGGTAAAGAAATGAAACCTACCTTCAGTTCCAAAATCTTTCACAAACTCAAGCTAAAAAGGAAGTTCATTGCAAAGAATGCTGTTTGAGTTCAAGATTGCGTATGGGTTTCTGGATTAATGGTGGATCCAATTCTTGAAAGACAATCCACACCAAGTGCAAAAACTTTCTTGAGATTTGAGGAATTCCTGCCAAATCTAAAGCACTTGTAGATGCTGATTTAGACAATATGTAAACTCTCAGTTTTTGCTTGGAAAATAGCTTTACAGCCTGCAATTATGGCTTTGCAGGGGCTGTAAAACCAAAAAAAAAAAAAAAGTATTCTATTAGCTTTATCATATTGAAATCATGAAGTGATGACAATTACACAACAGACCCATCCGAAAAAATGAATGTCACTGCGGACAAGTATTTTAAAAACCCAGGTTGATGAATGAGAGGTTACCCTCATTGGCATCCTCTGACAGGGATTGACCTCAAAGGGCATCATTGGTGGATTGGACTTTGCAAAAAATCTTTTCAGGCTTACATAGATACAAGCTTGTTTGGTTTGATATAGAAATATGAATGGATTTTTAGGATTTTGCAAGGGGTTTCATTCGAAGTGCTAGACTTTGGGTACATACTTGAAGCGGAAATGGTGAGAAGACGATTCCAAAAACAGAGTGAACAATAAGGACCTTTTTTTTTTTTTTTTGAAGTGAAATTTGGCCTGTGGCATAAGTGTCCAGCTAGGGGGATTTCTCGGTGAGAGTATCACATGACTAGGTCTAGCGCACTCCAGCATCCATGGACACCGGCCGGAGATCAGAGCTGCACTCGGCCGATCAACTTAATGTTGATCCTCCGGAGGGTCGCGTCGCGAGTCGTGATTGCTCTCGTGCCAGCCCAAGCGAGGTACTTGAATGCATAGCCAAGTTTGATTCCGGATGTGCCCTATAGCTACAAATTTATGTAAACATTTTCTTACCAGTGCCTAAAAAAGTCCTATATTCTTGAATGATGAAGACCCCATTCTGGAGGATGGAAAACTCTACCGGACATGTGTTCCTTCATCACATTGGTCCAGTGGTCATAAATAGACATACATGTTGCTCCTAGCTATGCCGCCAAGCTCCTCAACCAAATGATCATCCCGTCAAACATCTCGCACATTTCTTTTGATCGCTTTACACAAAGTAGGAGGCAGTAAGCTGGCACCAGCACGTCTAGCAGAACATGCAGCGTGATCGACATTCTTATGATCAAACCTCCCATCTAGCCTTAGAAGGAGACAGTTGGATGATGCGACCCTTTTCAAAACATATCTCTCTTCATTCCCCCACGAGCATACCACCCTTACCTACCAGAAGCATGGTCTCCAAGAGGACCTCCGAAGCAAAGTGCAAGCCTCTAGTCGATCCCGATGATTTATATCGCCCGTTTGATAATAACCAGTTTGTCAAGCGGAGTTCAGATTTTTCACTCGGGGATGATAAACCAGCAAAGCCGAATGGGATGAAGCCGTTGGAATCAGATGACGATACGGACGCACCGGTTATTACTCTGAGAAGTATCATAGTTGGAATCATCTTATGTCTGATTTCTGTGAGTATTTTAAAAGTCTTTCCATGCTGGCGCTCAGCAACTGAACTAATCCTTCTGATCATGTTAGGCTGCTATTGCTCAACTCTTCCAGTTCAAGCCAGTACGAGTTCAGGTCAGTCGGCCACTGTTAGCTTTACTCCCCCACATTTTCAAGCCGCTATCCAAAAAACTCTCGGAATTATTGACGCAAGCTGTTCCTCCTCACAACAGATTTCATTGCTCACCCTACAGATCTTTTCATTCCTTTTGGGTACTCTTCTGTCAAAAATCCTTCCTACTCGTTATCATTGGCTTAATCCCGGCCCCTATTCAATCAAAGAGGATGTCTTCGCCACCACGATGGCTGCGTCAGCAGCCTACGCTGCCTTTGGAACCGAAACCTTTGCTCCTCAGATTTTGTTTCTTCATGCTAGCCCCGGGTTCTCACTTTCAGTTGTCGCCCAATTGGCCAATCAAATCTTGGCTATCTGTTAGTTTTCTTTTCCCTTACTTGAATCTTTCTTGGTGCTAAATCTTGCTAATTCCCCCTTTGACTTTAGGTCTTGCGTGGCATTTTCGATCATTTTTAGTATACCCAGTTGAATGGTTGGTCTTGCATCTATCACACTCTTATCTCGATCAAAATCATGAATTCCAGAGCTCAAGATCATCAATTCTATGCTGTCCCCTTGGATCAATTCGAAAACCAGTCTATATCCGTAAGTGATTGCCCTTTTGAGTCCGGAGTGTACACCGAGGGATTAAACAATCTTTACTTCTGGTACTTCGTGTGTAGGGCAGTCATTCCTCCCGTTATCTTATTCCAGTCATTCCACGGCGGGGGAAGTCTCGCTAACCGTCGAATCAATCTATTTAAGCTCGTCGCCCCCTTGATTGGTCTGTGGGAAGTTTTACCCCAGTTCTTGGCCCCCACCCTTAGCGCCATCAACGTTTTTTGTTTGGCTCTGCCCGCCTCAAAGCAGGTCACTGCACTCTTCGGCGGCGCTTCCCCTAACACGTCAGTTCCAGGCTGTTCTTATCATACGCTGTCAAGCTCCTATCCGATATGCTTATTTTATTGCTACTCAACCAACCATCACGTCAGTGGATTCGGAATGTTCTCAGGTACGTGTTTTGTCAAGAAGTATGATAACAATAGCTACTTTAAGAAAAAATGGTATTTACGGGTGTCTATGGATTGGCTTTTGATCTCCATTTGTCTTTTTCTGACTTCTAGTGAGCCTTGATTGGACCAACATATCTGCCGGAGTGAATGGTGCAGTTGAGTATCTTGCAAAGGCTCAGCTCTGATTTCAGTTTCTTCAGCAATTGAAACTTATCTGTGTAACCAAAATCTTCACAATCGTGTGTAGTCACCAATGTATGTGCCATGGATCGCTCAAGTGAACTCATGGATTGGGCTATGTTTCGGTAAATACCGCCTGTCGACACCATTTAAGTTTGGGCATTCAACAGCTGACCCCCGGCTCTATTAGCTATGTCGATGTATCTTATCATATACAATATTGGTCCTTATGGCTCAGGCGCCAAAGACAATTTTCCCCTGCTGTCGTGAGCCTTGTGATTTTTTTCATATATAATGAGGATAGGTCAACCTGAAACCGTTTTTCTCAATCAGTACAAGATTGCTCACGGAATCCGGGAAAGAATATAATCACTCTGCCGTGTTTATGTCTAATGGTTCCCTCAGTCAGCAAGGCCTTGCCCAAGAAGGACTTCCGGCCTTTACACTCTCCTTTGTGATTTCTCAAGGTATTCATAACAATTACGAGCCTGATTGTGTCTCGATCAATCGCTAACTATCGTCTGAAACTCATACGATTGCTTTTCCAGCGTTTGCTGCACTGTTGATGACGAGCGCAGTGTAAGACTACTCACGCTCTCCAAGTTAAATGCAAAGCTCAGTGGTGTGATTTTTCAAAAATCTTCAGTACTCAGGCTCTCATTCAGAATTGGACTCTGATCACTGGTATCATCTTTCCTGATCGTGATGATGGGGTCCCAAAAGACAAGGATCCCCACCTCGAAGAAATGGTAAAAGTAAGTTGATCAGTTCGGCACATCATAATCCATTCTTTCCGATCAACTAAAACTTTCATACTTTAGTATTCTGACGTCCCCCAATGGTTTCTCGGGTGTGTTTCTGTTGCATCGGTGGCTCTTGGATACCTTGGCGCGACGCTTGGTGAGCGCATCCATTGGCTTAACTAATTCTCACCAACTTTCCCAATCCTACTAATCACTTCTTTTGCGATAGCTGGAAGTCAGATGGGTTTTTTTGTAATGCTGGCAGCAGTTCTTGTAGGAGACCCAACAAAACTCAAGTTAATGCTCCTTATGAGATTTATCACTCATTTATTGCTTTCGTATTTTCTAGTTGGCGGCCATCATTGTCGCTTCCATTGGCTTTTTGAATGCGACTACAGGCTTCAATCCAGTTGATTTCCCTCTCCTCTTAAGTGGATTCTGTACATTGTATCAGTTGGTTGACTTGTTCAACGTGTTCAGATTGTTGCCCCGGCCTGCCAAATGATTGGTGCAGTATTTGGAGGATCTCTCATCCGCTCTCTTTGGTGAATTACTGACCTCTCTTAATAAGATTCGAAAGTTTAGCTTTGCTAACTTCAATCATCAATTCCTCAGGTTTAACATCTTCAGCGCCACATGCGCAACAATCTCCTTACTGATCGCAAAAGAGTTGAGTGATTTATTTTTGTCTTGGATGAAGTTTGGGACTCTTCGAAGCCGAATAATATATCATTTATCCATTCTTAATGATTGAAACAAATCAGTATCAAAATGATGATCGTAAGTAGATAAAAATTGATCCGCATTCAGATCTCCCTGAAAAACTAATCCCCACCAACTGCCCCTTAATTGATCATACTATTCCCATCTCACAGTACACAAAGGTTCCACCTCGCAAAGGATTATTCGCTCAAATATGCGGAGCGTAAGTTTCAATCAGGCGATTCACCTCATAGATTGTGGGCTGATCTGATTCCATCATTTTTTCTCTCTGACCAAGTATTATTGGCGTTTTCGTGAATCAGTTCGTGATGGAAATCATTGTTTCTGCAAACGCAGAAGCTTTGATCGAACCTACAGCTAGTGGACTCGTGAGTTTCCATCGAGTTACCATCTCTGAGATCAAGAGCGTGACTCCTTGTGCGGTCAGCTTGATCACACCACGTGCTCATATCCAATCTTCCACTCATTCCAACCCCCAGTTTTCTGGTGTTTCCTCACAAGCGTGAGTTATCCGACATGGAGTTTTGTCCAAGCGCTGGACATGATCCTGACATTGGTTTGGTCAATAAAGTTTATTCAATGAAGTTAGTACTTGGAGTCTAGTTTCCGGTGCACTATATGGGCCAGGGGTTAGTGTGATTTTATCTTCATGTAGCTTAAATGTCTTAAGAGTTTGAAGCTTTGTGGGGCTGACTATGAGCATTTGAGCAAAGAAACGATATTTCTTCATTCCTGCCAGCTTGGTGAGATTACAAACGCCAGTGTCATTACTCTTCCTGGGAAGAGAAATCTCATCTATTCCTTGTTCGATTCCTGCAGCTTATTGGGTTTTTCGCACCCCTTCCATTCTTGATCATTGAGAGAACTTGGCCCGATTCAATCTTTGGGAAGTTCAACGTACCAGTGAGTCACTTGGTCATTTGAAAATTATGTTGATGAGTATTGAGCCTATTTTCAAAAACAGTTGGTTGCTGGGACCATACAAGTTGCGATAAACGGTACTACCTCCGGTCGATTTACTGCCATAATAGTTGGATTCATCAGCCAGTACTATGTTCGAATTTATCGCCCCCAGATCTTCACAGATTACAATGTGTGTCTTGACAACTATCTCCTGTGCCCGGAAACCCAACCCGAATTTCTAACCTGCGACTTTCTTATCAGCATGTCCTGAGTGCCGCTCTAGATGGTGGAGTGCGTTTTTCTATGATTCTAGCAAAAATAATGACAATGGATCGAACTTGACAGTCAACTAACCACGTTGATAGAAAACTTATGCTTATGAATCGTCTTTGTTTGTGTTTGCTTTGCAGACTCAAATCGCTGTCCTCTTATTATCTTTCACCACTGGAAAAATTCAACGTGAGCCGCAAAGTTTCATTTCTTCGTCATGATCTACTTTTTTATCACTCGCTGTTATGAAGTTTGAAAAACTAATCAAACTGTTTCTATCTCAAGTTCCTCATTACCTTTTCAACCCGGCGACTCCTTTTCTTAGGTTGGTATTTCCTATCATCTGATTTTACTGATAACCCAATCCTATCATCGGCTTATCTGACCATGTGATTGGACTAACTTGAACGACTCCAGAGATTATTGCACCCAATTTTAGGAAGTGAAAACAAGATTGAAGGCACAGAAGAAAGAATTCAATTGCAGGAAAGGAAAGGGTAACAGCCATTAGATTTATCACAATTCATCCCCACCAGGCTTCGTGTGAATCAGTTCGATCCGCATGTTTCCCAGACAAAAACCCTAATTCATTCCCCTATTTTCCATCTCTACAAAGTCTTCATCCTTGAAATGGTCGTTTTAATATTTTCATCTCTGTAATTAGGTCTGATGGACGCATGACTGGATTGGCGCCTCTTAGTCTTACTAGCTGGCTGAAATTTAGCCACGCTCTTATAATTCCAAGAATTTGTGTCTTACTTCGCCATGAGAACCCCTTTGACAAGTACATACATCACTACCCACTACCTGTATATTAACAAAATAATCATCAACAAATATTGTCGTTTCAGAGAAGCTTGGTGCCTCTCGAGTTTTTTTTTATTTTTGTTATGCATTAAAAAGTCTGTTTTATCTTCTTTTTTTCACGGATTCCGTCATATGTATCCCACCTTTTGCTTCTCCCTCCCCGGCCCCTATCCAGCGACCCGATGCCCGGCCATGAACTCCCCTCCCAGCCTGGTCGGATGTAGCAAGGGATGGTCGAGTACACAGTGGGATCAGGGTAAACTTTGCACCCTGATTCCAAATATGAGCTTCATTTTGCCAGAGCTCTTCTTAGAAAGAAACTAAGGCTGGATTGCAGTGTCAGGTCTTGGGTTGGATTGCATACCTGTCCAAACCCAAACCTGTAAAATCAAAGTTTTATATCCAAAGCATGGGATCTACCAAAACAATTGTTTTGCAAATGGTTCCAAGCTTCTCTGAAAAGACAATACATATGTAGACTGGCTTGGTACACAAAAGACATAGATACTGGAGGACTTCCCGTCGGATCTGGGACCCTCGCAGTTTTTGATTTAGACCCAAAAAGTCTAGATTTTCGCAGGGAAATTTAGCTTTGGCGGCTCTAGATGGAAACTGGGAGACCCGCAGATGTTGACAGGAAGTCATCCACTACATAAAACCTAATGATACATGTAATCAATTTTTGTAGAATTCAATGGTTCCAATTGATGGGTCAGCACCTATTTCAGCTCCACAAACAAACAAATTCATTACGCAAAATTGGAGGACTCCCTGTTGCCATTTACAGGGCTGTCAATGCCACTCTAAATCACAAATTAGCACACCTATCACACATTTGACCAGTGCACATAAAAGATGATTATTTTTCCTAAAATATAGATTTACAGGGTGTAAAGTAAGAATTACAATGCCTGTAAATCCAAAGGCAAGTGATCAATCTTGCAAGGTCTTTTTTTGTATCCTTATCAACAGTGGGCCAGTTACACTAACTGTAGGGTTAGTGTAGTGCAGCGCAGCAATATCCCACCCTTTAGGGTAGCATAGCAGAAATCTGCCGCGTCCATGCTAACACTACACGCACAGGGACCTAGAAAGTACCTGCTACGCTGCGCTAGTGCGCTGGTTAGTGGCATTTTGGCCCTGTAGTGACTGTTAGCGACCCATAGCGCAGCAAAAAAACCACCAACTTTTTGCTGACACTATGCAATTCCTGCGGGCAAAAAAACCCCGCTACACTAATGCTTCTTGGGCAAAAAAGCATAGTTTAGTGTAGCGGCCCATCTTGTCCTTACTCAATAAAACCTGAATCCATTCAACAAAGAAACCCCTTGGGTGAATTTAACAAAACGACCAGATTTGTTTCATGCAGCAAAACATTTCCTTGGGATCTGAATCAAAAAATTTGGTCAAAAAATGTACCATTTAATGTATTAAGTACTTCAAGAAACACTGTCTTCTGGCACTCGGTGCAGCCCCTTCTCAGGCAAGGAGATTCCGGCCATGGCACTCAGTGCAGTCTCTTAGGCAAGGAGATTTCTGTCAAGTTTGACTGCACTGTAGATGGGATTTAATTGCCTTCTGAGTAATCCCTGGAGAGAGGACAAGTAATTAGCATTGTGCAACTTTCTAGAGTTCAAGCAGCTTGAGCATTGTGAATTTGTGTGTGATGATGAAGTGCTGAAGGGAATTTGTGCCTACAAATATATGGATTTCACGATACCTGTCACAGTTTATCCAAGTGAAACTCGATGTCAATGTATGCGGGCCAAGCTTGGGAGCAGCAAGTACACAAACGAGACCGAATAACGACCAGTGGCACGATGGGCGATTGTCAAAGAGCTTGTTTTATCAGGAGCAGCATCAACATCGATCGTAAGCTTGCGTTTCCTGCTTTGGGTGCATGTATAAGAAAATCAAGAATGCTGATGAGCTGTGACTTCTCTGGTGCTAAATTTTGTGGAAGTTTACAGAATACTTTACTGTTGGAAAGTAGGTCTACATACTGCTTGGCTGAGGTTTATTAAATTTGACAATCCTCTCCATCGAAATAAAAATCAATAATATTGTTAATTTTTGCGGAGCTTGACAGCTGAAAATTGACCGTCATTCAAAATAGTATTGTCCGGTCAGGAGAAACGATTTCAAGCCGAGGATTTAGTGAGAGGATCGGGGGGAAGGGAGCTAATGCAGCGGTTGCGATTTCCAAAGCGGGAGAACGTGTCTATTTTTCTGGACTGATTGACAATCAGTCAACTTGGCTAAAAGATACTTTGAAGGCATTTCAGGTTGATGTTGATGGATTGAAAATCTGCGATGAAAGATCAAAAGTTCAGTCAGACTCCTGCCAAGTTTATCAAGTCTTCCATCATTATTGGCATGGCCAGGTGATTCATTGACGAGAAATTGTAAAATGCCTTTTGTTTGTTCTAGCTTCCAACTGGCCGAGCAATAATTCAAGTTTCTCATGAGACCGGCGAAAACGCAATCGTTCTGGTCCCAGGAGCCAACCATGCGCCGTCCGAGTTTTGGCCAGAACTTGAATCAATACTGAAGCCGATGAAATATAGTCACGTATTACTTCAAAACGAGATCCCAATCGCCCAGACTCTCCACACCTCGAAAATCGCTCATTCACTAGGCATCACCACCATCTTCAATCCATCACCACTACCAAGCCCCAAGGAAGTTACAGAAGTAATAGATTGGAGTTGTATAGATTGGCTGATCGTCAACGAGGAAGAGGCACGAATGCTAAGAAATCGCGCAACTTCTAGGACTCGCTGCGACGATCAGCTTGAATGCGGAGAAATTCCTGATTTGAAACAAGAGCTGGCAGTTTTGCAAGAGTTAATCAGTTTTTCGATGGCCACGTTTTCAATCGTCATAACCTTGGGCTCACGTGGCTCTTTGCTAGCCTTTCGACATACTCCATCCGTTTGGATCGGCGTTCATACTCCTCCTAGTGCAGGAAAGAGACCGGTAATCAATACAACTGGGGCTGGAGATTGCTTTACAGTGAGTTCTGCCTTGATATTATCCGCCGTGGTTTGATGGCCTTCTTCAGATCTTGATCATCCCATATTGGACAATAACATATCTCATTTGATTTATTATCAGGGTTTTCTGGTTGCGGAATTGATCAGATTGGACAAGAGTCCGATACCTAAAGATCAGCTTTTAGAAAGATTGAAGAAATCCATGCAGGTAGCTAGCCAAGCAGCCCGTTTGTGTGTGGAAAACCACGGAACCATTGACAGTTATCCAACCCTTGAAGAAGTGCAAACTCATTCAAATGTTTGCAGCTAGTTTGTTTCTCTCTCTTTCGCAAGAAATACAATGAAGTTCAAACTTTTCATAACATCAGAATCAAAAATGTTTTCATCTGCACCGATGCTTTTGAAGATTTCTACACTAAGGAAAGCGTCATTCATCACATTACCAGGCCATATGCACCACAGAAAAGCTGACCAGAGGAAAGAGGGAATCATGCTACGAGCAAAAAGGCTTGGGCACTTCTCAAGCATGCCGGTCTCCCCTTGTCTTTGTGGGGGAAGAAACTTCAACGGTCCTCTGGTAATATTCCGCTAACATAAAAATGAGTCCTTTGTTGTGCAGCTACTCAAGGAGTTCAACTACTGTGCATTGAGAGCATGATTGGAGTGATAGTCACATCAATTTGAGTACTTGCATTGTGGTGGGCAAGTGAGTTTTGGGACAGCCCAAAGGCAACACAGGTCAGCAATCTTTAAATCAGACCTGGATAACCTCTTTTGGGGTGGGGTCTTCTTGGTGGTTGGAAGATCAATGAGCAACTGGCAGACCTTGAGAGTCTCTTGTACATACATCAGCAGTTTGGCCAATATTTGTGATGTATTCCATGATGGGAAGATTTCCAGATGAAAGGAGACTAGAAAATACAGCATGGACTGGTTGGCAATGATTGCAGCAGTGCACAACTAAAACTATCTATGGAACAGCTCTTGACTCAGACTGGGGCTTGGTTTAGAGCTGGTCGCTACGCATCCGGATATCCGGCTGCTTTTTCAGGCCAAATGGCCATCCGCATCCGCATCCGCACCCGCTAGCGGGTATCCGTCAGCCGCAGCGGGTATCCACGGATACCCGCCCTTTAAAGGGCCGGCGAGGCGGCTGGAAGGAAATCCTTCCAGCTGTCAAGGTACATGTACCTCGCCGGCTGGAAGGGTTTCCTTCCAGCTGGCGAGATACATGCTCGACCGCTGGAAGGAAATCCTTCCAGCCGTTGAGGTACATGTACCTCGTTGGCTGGAAGGATTTCCTTCCAGTCAACGAGGTACATGTACCTCGTCGACCGGAAGGATTCCCTTCCAGTCGACCGGCGAGGTACATGTACCCCGCCGGCTGGAAGGGTTTCCTTCCAGTCGACAAGGTACATGTACCTCGTCGACCGGAAGGATTTCCTTTCCAGCCGTCGAGGTACATGTACCTCGCCGGCTGGAAGGAAACCCTTCCAGCCGGCCATCTGCCCTTCCGGCCTCGGGTATCCGTTGAGATACCCGGGTATCTGCTGGAAAATCAGCGGAAAGGGCACATCTGCACCCGAACCCGCATCCGCTGGCGGGTATCCGCTACAGCGGGCGGGTATCCGCCAGCGGATAACGGATATCCGCAACGGATATCCAGAGACCAGCTCTAGCTTGGTTATAACTTCAATTAGGAAGGAATTCTCCACTATATACAAGTGCAGCTGGGACTGGTTTGCCAAGTTGAACTGACATCAGTTGTGTTATAACATATGACAGATGGTATGGGAATACCTTTCCATGGATCAGAAATCATCTGGACAATTGAGGAAATCCTTTGAATACATTGCATATCAACTTGTTTCAAGGTTGGGATAATGGGCTACATGTAAAGCCTCTAGGCCTTACATATGCAACAGATCCAAATTGAGAGAATCCAGGCCCTTCAGCTTGGTCTTTCTGGAAGGTGCAGGTACAAAATTAAGGGCAATATTTTACCTGCCAACTGAAACTAATTATTGCTTTTCTCACTTTGAAGGTGCATTTTTCTCACCCAGCAGCTGCACCCCGTTCCCCTCTCTCTCCCTAGGTTGGGAAAACAATGGGCCAGTTACACTAACTGTGACATTAGTCCAGTGTAATGTAGTGGGATTCCACTAAAATTTAGCATAGTGCAGCAGAATTCTACTAGCTTGGCAAAGCCTCTCCTAGGGCATCTCTGCATGAATAAAGTCAAACATTTGGCTGGGACAGGAAGGATTTTCAAGCCTAAATCCACAAAATATTTTTTTTAAAAAAAAGAACTGCTCAATTTGAAGAAAAACTGAATAGACAGTTTCTTGTGCTGCCTTGGCAAGCAACATTGGTCAAAAATTTGAAAGGGGAACAACCCAAAATGACTGAAGAAATGCATTTGAAGGGATTTGAGAATCAAGAATTATCAAACTTAGCTTGGAGATTCCTCTGAGAGAGTTTCCATAGATTTGCCAAGTCTGAAATTCTATTTTCTAAATTTTGTCAAGGCTCTCATTTGTCAAGGGTGCTGAGAGTGCAACTCATAGTCAAAATCTTGCTTGTTGAATCCGCAAGGTGGTGGGCTAGAAAATCTTTGGCGGATTGCCTCACCAATCTTGGTGAATCTGTGTTTTGAGTTTTGAAGGAGAATGGTTTTTTATTATTTTCAAAATTTAATGGAGGGGGAACCATTACAAATGAGTGGATGAGACCACATCCAAATGAAAGCTCACCCACAAAATATTACTCTGACTCTGGGGCAGTGTTGTGGAGCATTGGGACAAGGAGTGAGAAGCTTAACAAAATCCACTCCAGCCATTCATGTTTCCTGTCCCAGCCCAAATCTTAATGTAATATGCAAGTCAGTCCCTCGATGTGGGAGGGCGCGCTTTGCAGGCAGAAAAACTGACTGCAGGCAAGGGACTTGTGATAAGTTAGAGAATTCTGCCACAACTGTGCTAACAATATGCTTGCAGGCCACAAAAAAGACCTACTACACTGTGCTACAGCACATTGTAGCTTTTTTTGGTCTTTTTTGCCACACAAACCGCTGCAGCACATTATAGTGGGACTAACAGCTAGCTCAACACAAGCCCCTCAATAGGAGGTGTGTTGAGACCTTGCAAAGCAAGCCTCCCAACCTCCTTTGGAGGCTTGCTTTGCAAGGTCTAGACACACCTCCAAGATTGAGGGGCTGGTGTCAAGCTGGAATAAAAGTGCCACTAATACTACATGGTTGTTATGTTGTTTTGAGGGTTGCTACACCAACATTAGTCAGCCGTTTTGTAGCATAGTGGCCCATTGCTAGTTGGGACTGCTGGCAGTGGGAGTTAATGAATGGATGACTTCCCATTGGCAGGTACAACCCTCACAGAATTTGATTTACACCATGAAGGTCTTAATTTTTGGCAAAAAAAATCTTTCTTCAGAAGCCTCGTAGTGAGTGAAGGCCCGGATGCTCTGTAAGAAATGGAGCAGGGGGGGGGTGTGAGAAGGACCATATGACGATTCAATTAAATAAAACTCAAAACCAGACTGGAAACCAATCACACATAACCAACGGAGCAGGAGTTGGGGGGAGAAGGAGAAAAGATACTATCGTAATACATCGCAAGACCAGCACGACATAATATTAGGATTCATGGTTATGGATACATGTAGAAGCTCAACATGTCAACCTAAAAAGCCAGCCTGGCAGGGATGCTTTGTGATCGAGCAATTGGGTCATCGTTCATCATGATCGCGCAGAGGCTACGATGCATTGAACTGCATCTAAACCGCTTGATCCGAATCAGAAAGACGGGTGAGTTGCATAAAAAATCAAATGAAAAGAGATAAGAGAAAAAAAAACAGCAGCAAAAAGATTCATAAACATGGGTAGATAAGGATCGGGACAGAATTTTTCGAACCGCAGGGCATTGATAAAAAATACTGGCACATCTTTCAACGCAGCGTTTCATAGGGAGGAGAGAGGAGATGATGAGAATCGAGACTTAATGGTCTACAAAAAAGTAAGACCAGTTAGTGTGGTGATTATGAGAGACTGGGGAAAGCATTGGCATCTTCGGTGTTAAGTTCCTTAGGACCTCGGCCACCGCGACCTCGGCCACCTCGTGGAGCGCCACGACTGTCATTGAATTCGCGACGCTCAGCTCCATCCCGATCACCTCGTCCGCGACCTCTACCTCGTCCACCACGATCACCGCCAGTTCGGGGTGGGCGGTAGCCTAATGGCTCGACTTCAATGAAGGTTTTCTCCTTCACCTTTTTGGCGGTTTGGGTGGTCTTTTTCTCCTGTGAATCATCGGGGAGATTCGTGTCAATGATAGGTTTTGGTCGACAAGATCTGAGGATAATCGAAGGTTACCTTGGGTTGGAAGAAGACTTCTTCCTCTTCTTCACCCTTGACGAATTTGACAGCATTCTTCCACTGCGAGTCGTCAGCACCTTCGTTGGGCTTTCGGACATCCTTCTTCAAGCTGGGAAGGGCACTTGCGGCGTTGGCCTTTTCGGCCAGGTACTCCTCAAAGGTCTTGGTCTTGTCTTCCTCTTCTTCCTCTCTGTGGTCAGCCCCATCTCCATTTTTGGCGTGACCGTTGGCAACTGGGGCAGCGTCATCAACATCGGCCTTCTGTAAAAGCGAGCCCGAAAACGTTGGTAGGTTGAACAGGTACAGAGAAAGTTAAAGGTACACTTACAGCGCCCCATCCTTCATTGTCGTCAGCAGGGGCCAGGGCAGCCTGTGTCAACGAGGTAGATCAAAGTTGCTGAGTGACTCATAAAACAGTATGTTTCGGCGACGGATTTCGGAGGGAAAAGCGCAGCTACCTTGGCATCCCCATATCCGTCGGTCTCGGCTTGCAGCTCTTGTTTGCCCTCTTCGGCACCCCAACCAGAAGCGACTTTCCTGTCGGTATCGCTACGTATCAAAAGATGGCATGGCGTCAGCATCCAACTTCTGAGCGAGAAAGATCAAGTGAGGCGCGCAGAGGAGCAGATAGTACAAAGGAACCCTATAAAATAGACTGACTGTGTACCAGTTGCGCTGTGACGATCGGGGCGATCGTCAAGACGAGCACCACCACGAGGACGTCCGGCACCTCGGCCTCTGGTACCTCGTCCTCCACGAGTACCACCACGACCTGTGTGGGGATGAGTGATCATCTCAAACCAATCAGCTGGAGTGCCAAATTGATTCAGGAGTTGCACGAGCACAGGGACCGAATCTGTACTGACGCTCCCCTCTGTCATCGCGTCCTTGCTCGGTCATTCCAGCGGGTTTAGAGCCGATGACTTCGGCATCAGCTCCGGTAGATTGACCACCGTAAACCTTGCGAGGGGCACCGCGGGATGGATAGTCACCACGGTCTCGCTTGACCTGCTGTCCAGGGATGGTTTTCTTGGGTTGAGGGGCAGCCGCGGCGGGTGCTTTGGTAGATTTGATGGCGGCTGACCTGGTGGCACCGCCTTCGTCGTCAGAATCACCTAAGCGGGGTCGATCGATGGAATTAGCCTGGACTGTTCAAGAGTTGAATAGAGTAGCAGCCAAGGTCGACTTACCTCCGCTCAGAAGAGCAAAGGGGTTGGAACTGATTGTAGACATCGAGATGAGGGGGCAGCGGTGAGGGAGGAAGGAAGATTGAGCTGCTTTTTACTGGTTAAAGCAGCACGCAAACCGCAGACCTAGATAGGGTAGAATGTCAGTACTATGTGCAAGTCTGTTGGGCGAGGATGCGGGATATGTCTGGATATCAAGGCGCTCTTTCTTATGGGCCCGGCCGCCGGAGTGGGCAGAGGGTGAATGACGACTCACCAATCGTTGTTAGCAACTTGCTGGTGGTCAGAGGGGGGGAAGGGAAGGAGTAGTTGATTGAGTATCGCAGTAGTTTCTCGATAGGACTGCTGAGGGTTGAGTTGACTGACTGACCTTGTTATCTGTTTGATGATGAGGATGCTCAACAACCAGACTTGACTATCAACTCGATCGTTGCTGTTGACCGTCCCTTCACAGCAAAAGGCAAACAACAGGCCCAGGGGGAGAGGGGGGGGACCTGTTCAGAGGATGTCAAGCCATTTCACAGAGGTTCATCAGGAGATTTCATCAATTGACAGGCATGTCACAGACAGCAAATGGCCTCCTCACTACCGGGAGCGCTGCGGCCCACAACCAACTATCACCAATACCGCAACCAATTCAAAAATTTCATTTGCCCCCTCCGGCCCGGCCACTAGGTTTCATCCCCAATCTTCATATGCATCCCACCCGGGGACACGCTCGCCTCTCGGCAACATAAACACCGCCACCAGGTAACCAAATTAACAATAGCCCAAAACGTCATCCAGTGTATTATTTACTTATGCGAAGTCATATCATGAGAGATGTTTTGAGAGATGCTCCGTTACATATCAACAACGATTCTATGTGGAAAGACTTATGAGTTGTGATAGGCTTTGCCCAACAGAGCCCGCTTTCGCTCCCAATGGATCAATCTCGATCTCCGCCAAATCTGCTTCTTTGCTTCCCAACTTGATATGTAAATGAGTAGTCATGATGAGAAGCAGAGCCATTCGCAATGAAATGACCTCAGCAAAGCGTGTCTGAAGAACTGGTAACATGCAGCTCAATTGTGTACATATCCCGGGATGAGATTTATGTAATGGTCTGAACATAGAATCAGTTCACAAACTTTGTTGTAGAAAGATCATTGCAGGATTGACACGAAAGAAACCTTTGAATAAAAGTTCATCTCGGGGATACTGGTAGGGTAGGCATAAAATAGACTTATTCATATTGAAGGATCAGAAAACAGCATGGGATTTACAAAAAACCAACAAACATATGATAAATAAAGAATGAAAGATATAACAAATTGAGTTTCCAGTCCCATCATGGATTCTGTGTTAATGGCTTTAGTTTTTTCTTCTTTTTTTCTGGGCTTTGTTTCATTATGGTCTAGAGTGAGAGGTCAAGAGAAACGTCGTTATATGGGGGTGGTGGTCTTTACAACGATAAAAAGCATGAAGGATAATACAGATCGCATAAGAAACAGAACTCCGTAATTAATATACTCACCATTCCTTTTTTGTAGTTTGTTTTTATGGGATAATGATCCAAGACGGGGTTTTTTGTCGATGAGAATAGAAAATGTGAAATCATGGCTGACTTGAGGAAGGAAAAAAAGGGAGGGGATGAAGTTTTTGAAGATGGTGGATTGAGGAGCCAGTGTAAGACAGCCGAGTGATTAGTGGGCAGCGATTCTCCGAGCCTTAGCTTTGTCTAACCAATACCCAAATTTGAAATCAGGTGGGATCCAATCTCCCTATAATTGAGGAACACGCGATGGAAAGAGGAAAAAAACAGAACTGTATCAGTATCTACCCTCATACTTGCACAATAACTCGGAAGTGCAATCTGAATAAGAAACAAGGGCTAAACGACTGACGTTATTGACACACAAGACTCGCATCATTGGGTGATATTTGAGCCCGAAAAGCAGTTTAGGCGTAATTAGGAAATATTGGGAGGCTGATTCCTTGCACGTAGTTTCGACCAATTGATCATGAACGAGTCGTTCGGCTCGACGGTCCATGCCTTGGTTGATCTCTGGAATACACAAGACATGGAATGAGAATCAGTTGGGAGATATAAAGACATGGGTTATTGAGTATGTTTAGTTGAAAATAATTCGAAGACATGCTCACCATCAACGAGCGAAAAGGGTGACTTGCTGAGTTCCGTCAACGACATCAAGTACATGATCGTTGACAAAGATCGTTCCTGAAGAAAACAAGGGTTGAAAATTAACACGTCAGCCGAGCTCCCACTTGTAAAGGGGAAGGACCAAGAAAGTCAAAAGGAAACACTTACCCCGCCGGATTGTCTATGAGGGTCTAATCTAACTAACGGCTCATTATCACGGAAAGAGACTTGGACTTCAATGCCCCATTTTTCGTAATCGGGATCCTCTACAATCACTATATGGCCTAGACATCCCATGCCTACATTCAGATACATGCGGTCGACATACATTAGGGGCAAATCAATCATTCACATCTCTTATGTATCGTGTCGTACAAGAAAGAAGTGATGGATCATACGTTTAAAGGCCGCATCAAATTTCTCATCAATGCTTTCGATCAGCTCATCAAGTCGTGGTCGCCATTGGTCCTAAACAGTCACAACGAGTAGACGGTGTAAGAGCCTTCACAGGTTAGAAATGCCAGATGTAGCATCCTGATGAATTACTGACATAGGTCTTTGTGATTTTGCTTTGGCAATGTTGAGCTTCCCTCTCCAGACCCTCGAACTCTTTCTTCTCCTTTTTCAGCTGAATTAAGATCCGAAATAGAAGTTTTGTTGATTCAGTATGAGGACAAAGGAAGGAAACATGGATAGACATGTGAGTTTTACCTGCGCAGTGAAACGGCCATAACGTTCCATAATGCTAACATCGACGGGATGAATGCCTTCGAGAGACATTTGAGCAGCAGATAAAAGCCCTTGGATGTGCTCCTGTTGTTTCTCTATCGCATCCTCTCCATCGATACCTTCTTCTTTCCGTGAGTCTTTTGCGGTGTTTAGGTGATGGCTCAGACTTGTTAACCTTTCCCTAACATCTTCAGAAGCTCCTTGGACCATTTTGCTGAATTCCCTGGCAGTATCTTTGGCTTGCTTATAGAGTGCTTTCACGTTGGCTTCATCTGTGAGAACAGTTGTAGGTAAAATACCAGTGATTCAGTTGAGCCTTCCTCCTTCCCAAAGTTTTCTGGGGAACCAGTAGATGACGAGGGGATTTCAGAAATTTTGCTTACTCTCTTCATAAGCCACTTTGGCCTCCGTCAGTTCGTGATTTCTACTGTTGAATATCTCTTCGAATGCCTTCTGGTCTGTAGAATGTTGCAGAATCCGTAGGTTTAATGTGATAAGAGTGGTACTCAGACGTGACAGTTGACTGGCCAAGTTCTGAAGAGCAAATAGTTTAGTGTCAAAAGTCTAAAAAAAGCAGCAAACCTGGTGGGAAAATGACTAACTTTCATCTTCACAACGACGTTCCCATGCGCCTTCGAGGCTTCAAATAGTGCTGCTTTTCGCCTACCTCGCTCTTGATCCAGCGTGGGCTTGGCGTTCTCTTTCTCAAGGGCAGCGACCTTGGATTCTGCAGACACCAGAAGAAGATCCATAAATCAACAGGGAGAAACACGTTTTCAAAGGGGGTACAATGAAGGATCGGGTGCGACCAACTATGTAATACAACGTATTTGTGATACTCGAGGTGTGGCGCTTTTGCTTCCGTCCAGGCGGCATCAACCTCTTTCTAATTAATCAGATGTTGCAAATGCAAAGGTGCAAGTCAGCATTGAGTTCATGTCCAAAACAGAGGTGAATGATTTACCTTGCGCCGTGCAAGGGTCTCGTGTTCATTCCTAAGAGCCGTTTCTTCAGCTCTGAGCTTGGATACTGCTTCTTCCTTTTCAGATGCGGCTTCCTCAAGGCTCTGAAGGGCATGCTTCTTTTCTTGCACAACTCCGTTATCCACTGTTGTTGAATGAGGAGCGACGTTCAAGAAGCTTGGCAGTAAGTACATGTTTAGGAAGAAACCCAAAGTGGTGAAACGTACCGCCTGCAACATTGAGGATCTTTGGCATTTGTAACTCCATTGACTTGATGATCATTTCCCTAGACCCATAGGACGAATAACTGATGTTGTAACGAGTAGTGCCCCGAATCCAACTTTTGATTGGAAAATTGCGATCATAAAATCTAGTTTCATCTAGCTGGGCGCGAGGGTTGTGTACAACGGGCTAGAGAGGCAGTGGGAGAGCAAAGAACGAGATAAGGCGGATATTGCGACTGTTTTTAGGTGGAAAGCTCAGAAACATGTTATGAAGAGACTCTTACCACCATGTTAAGTCGACTTTGATTGCAAATGTGAGCAAGTACTTCATCGGGGCCATTGATGAGGTTGATAATGTAGTCGTCAAACCCCAATTGCTTGAGCTGTGAGATACAATGAGACAGGTAAGTAGACGGGACCGAAAGGTGGATGTACTTTGGCGACTTACTCTATCTAGGGGTATTGGGTGCTGATAGTTGGACAATGAATCGCCAGCTCTCATGCATGCAAGATTGACACGAAGCTTCTCATGGTCATTGCATCTTTCGGCCATCAATTCATAATCATGGGGGTCGGTGAAAATGAAAGTCTGAAACAAACAAACGCCGCAAGGGAGATTATAAGATCGATGCGAAAACTGCGAGCTCAGTCCTGGTCAATCGGCATACTGACATTTAATAAGTCCCGATTCAAGCAGGCCTCGACAGCCCGATCAAAAGACGGATGCTTGGGTGAGATTTCGAGTCGAACAGGCTCAAAGGCCTTCCCACGAAATCTGCCTTCGTCCCTGAATTGTCGCATGATCTGAAGCGCTGCGAAGACGTTGGGGGCGAATTTCTTTAGGTCTGCTTCTTTCCTTCCCGTTACGCTCTCCATGTTTTTTATTCTAAGGTGGCAAATCGAGCAACCAAAACAAATTGATCAGTATTAAAAGTTATCAGCTCAGGGCTATATGATCTCTTGGGGACGGCGGCTAACTCTCGCTGAATGTTATTTTGTTGTTCAATTAATCTGCGACGCTCTTCATAGGTTTCTTTCTGTTGGGCATGAAACGTAGTAATATCATTCGAGATCTGACGGATGCGAGTCGATAACGATTGCTGGAATTTGCAAAGGTACATGACGTCAGCAAGCATACAATTTCTTGTTGTTTTATACCTAGAAACAAGTACCAGTTCCTCCTGATAGGGTGTATGATCCGGCTCTGGGACGGGATTCGCGATTTTCTTAGCTAGATTGTCAATCTCTGCTTGCAACTTCGATTTCGTGTCTTTTCGCTTTTGTTCGTCATGCTTCAAGGCAATTAGTTGTTCGGAGGCTTCTTCTAGCTGACGTTTGGTAGACTTGAAAGATGAGTCCAATTTGGACAGAGCTGTTTTACACTGCGTAGAGGCTGATGAGACCTTTTTCTTGCATGCATCAAATTGGTCTGCGAGTTGTTTAAAGTGCCTGATCATCACGTGGATCAAAAATGTCAATCAGCAGGTCCCCTCATCAGTGAAACGTTGGTTGATATAAATCCAAACTTCATACCTCTTCTGATCATTCAGCGGTGCATTCTCCGCCTCCAGGTTGGCAATCATCTCCTTGGCTTCAGCTTGTTGGGCTTTGGCGGTATCGTGTTCTAGCTTTTGTCGCTGATACTTATTTTGTTCCAAGCCAAGTTGGCAAGCCTCGATCTATTATAAAAGTTGGGGATGAAGAATTGGTCAATCGGGGGGTTCTTGGAGGGAGGTGAGGTGTGAGGAAATGGACCTCATCCTCGATTGCCTTCCTTTCCTTGAATCGTTCGACTTCAATTCGTAGACTCTCGACTGATTTCTCAGTATCTTTGTAAGCTCTTTGGGCAATCGCCAGCTTGGCGTCAACTTCGAGTTTGCTCTTTCCGTCTTCGATTAGAAGCTCATGCCATTGGTACAACTTGGGATGACCGGCAACCTTCTGAGTTTCTCTCAATAGCTCAGGCTCCTTCATTTCTGCGAATTTGGAGACCTTCTCTTGAGGTAAGAAACAGCTGTAAGATCAACAGGATCACAATGTTGTCAGAGCTCTCATCGGATACTCATCATTAAAATTGCTTGGAAACATACCACAAATTATTTGCTTGGATGTTAAACGATTGTACAATTTCTTGGACTTGGGCGATCGTAGTCCTTTTTCCTGAACAAGAGAATTGTCAAAAGAATTGTAAGGTCGAGTTCTTACTGCTGATGAGACGTTGCTCGATGTACTAGTTTTTTTTTTCTGGATGTTAAAAGAGGGTTGGCTAAATGTATTAAGACGGCTTACCATTTACCTCAAAGACTCGGCTGTTGTTGGCTAGGATAAGGTTGAGTTTGATTGTATAATTCTTCTTTCCAGGGTGGCCTTTCAGTTCGATTTCAACAGATCCTTCCTCGGTGCCTGATTTGATAAACAGTTTAACTTCCGATGCCCTGTCCAAAACCTGTCCACGTAGATGTATGTTTGTGTAAGTGTGTGACACGGGTTAATCAGGCGAAACCTACTAATAGATAGAGCCGGCGTGATGATTTATTTATTATGACTGACGCTGGGAGCAAATCCTAGACCAAGTACGATGGCGCAAACTAGGGTACTTTTCCCAGTTCCGTTGGGCCCGATGATCATGTTGAGGTATGGGCCTGGAGAGAATTCTACGCTTGAATAGGTCACGAAGTTTCTTAAGGCTACTCGGACAATCGAACCAGGTAAGTAGCTGGCAGTGGAAGGAAAGTGAGATCGGATGAGTACATTCATTTTTTTTTTTTTCTTTCCTTGTGGAATTCGATGACTAACCCTTCCTTATCTCGTACGCCTCTGGAGACGACGAGGCCATTAGATTTATGTGAGACCGGATCAACAGGTTCCTCTTCGTCACTACAATCGACGGTCTCTGCTCTTTGGGCGAGTGCGCGCTCCTTCCCTTTACCATTTCGTTGTTGAGTTGCAGATCCGTTTTCGATCTTCCTCTTCTTTGATCTTTGTGATTGTGGGACTGGGCTGTCTTCATCCGGCTCAGACAATTGCTCATCTTGGGCTTGTTTCCCGAAGCCATTCGCACTAGATGGGTTGATTGATCTCCGGCTTCGCTGTTGGCGTTGAGTGGTTGGTGATAGGTCATCAGATGGCTCGGTTTCCGGGGATTGAATTTGGCGTGACTTTCGTTTGGAGGACATGTTGAGGGGGGTTCAGTTAATGAGAAGTTAGAATGTGGATTGGGATGATGGATGGAGTATGCGTCGTGGTCAGTCCGATCGGAAGCAGGAAAGAGGTCGATGGTAGGTTCTCTCCGCTTCTTGAAGTCGACTTGATGTCCCCTTGTGTTTTCTTTTTTTCTTTTTTTTTCGAGGTTCGGCGTGGATTGACCGCGTTCAGAAGTTTTTCTCCTTTCAGAGTGCCTCAAACCACACGCGTCGAGTGGATGTGGGCCTGGCCTGTTCAGCAGCTGTTCAGAGCATGTCACCAACCTTGCCGAAACTGTCGAGCTCCGGCGCGAGATCAGGCATGATCACAAGCTCACAGAAAGGGATCTGCCAGGATCTGCCACTATTGATACGCAGTTGGGCTTGATAAATAAAATCATCAGCGTGCTCACTGCACATAAAAGGCTGGGTGTCATGTATTTAGCTTGTCAAGCAAGTTAAGGTAGATTAAACGCTAGAAGATTGGCCCGCTGATTGGACATCCTCTTTGCTTGCAAAGTTAAACACAAACTGATTTACATACTCTACAACAAGCACAGAGCTACATATATCTTATTTCTCAAAATCAATACAGTAGATTGACTGATGGACCCACTTGTTGATTGTCTTTAATGGGTTTTGGTTCTCCCTCCCTCATGACAAAATGAATCCATTGGGCAAGGAAGAGAGCACTTCATGTTACAACTGAACCCCCCAACAAAAAAGGGCACCATGTTTATCCTGGAATAACTAGGGGGAAAAAAATCAGACATTTTTTTAGCTTCAGTTTTGAGTTACAATAAAATAGAATATTTTCATTTTTGAAAAACTTGTACATAAAACCCTGAAAATGGGCTTTGAAAGATTTTAAATTACAATTGTTAACCCCCCTATTGCTTCATAGCAGAAGGTGTCAGAAGCTACTCTTGGTGTTTCTTTTAGTCCTGTATTTGGTTTATCTTCCAACTGAAAGCTAACAGAATGAAATCTTTTGACATATCTTCCAACAGTGAGCCTACAGGATACCTTCTGTTGGCTTGTTCTATGATGAAAGAATTAGGCCAAGCATGAATGAGGTCCAACAGTGACAAAAAGGTGGGTTTTACGGTGGTTCCAAACAACCACACTATTCCCTCCCAGGCAGATTGTTGAAAGTTTGATGCTTCAAAGTTCACACTTTAACAAAAACTTACCTGTATTTGGATAACTGTCTTTCCCAGAAAAATGCTTCATCACAGAAGCTACTCTTGGTGTTTCTTCCAATTTTAGTCCTTTCTTTGGTGTATCTTCCAACTTAAGGCTAACAGAATGAAATTTGTTGACATATCTTCCAACAGTGAGCCTACAGGATACCTTCTGTTGGCTCATGCTATGATGAAAGGCTTAGGCCAAGCATGAATGATGTCCAACAGTGACAAAAAGGTGGGTTTTACTGTGGTTCCAAACAACCACAATATTCCCTCCCAGACAGATTGTTGAAAGGTTGATGCTTCACACTTTAAAAAAAACTTACCTGTATTTGGATAACTGTCTATCCCACAAAAAGGCTTCATCAAATTGTAGCTGAGGCTAACTGACCATTTGTCCAAAATGGCAGCACTAATCCTCTGATCAAAATCAAACAAAATCTCCCTATCACCCTTAATGAACTTCAGTGGCTACACCTTGTCTGTGAGAAAAAAAGTTGCAGCAAAATTGGCAGGTTGATTTGTGACCACTTGGCAAGCCATGCCACAAAGTGCCTCCCTACTGGAACTCGTAGCATTTGAAGTGCAAAGTGAGATTGAAAATGATATTTACAGTGGGTAGACAGTGGAAAGTGAAGTGGCTGCTTATTTTGGATTCCAGAGCTCCAAAACACAAACTTGAAGTCATGAGACTTGGTCAAGTTCTGCAGAATAGGTCCTAAAAAATGAATATGAAAAGATACATACAAAAAACATAGTTCCAAACTTTGTGAAAAGTGAAAAATACAATTTAGTTTTTTTCAAAAGGCTTGATCTTTGAGGGAGTGAGAATGCTGAGAGAAAGAAAGATAGGGACATGCAGAGAAGAATGATTACAAATGATTTTTTTTTTGGAAAAATTGGTTTCCAGATGGATTTCAACAGCTATTGAATGGGGCATTCACCAGCCCACATTGTGGTAAAGCACTAGAATTTACTGTTTTGGCTCCAATCTGGACAACCAACCTGGCCAAAACTTTTTTGGTTCCAATTTTCTCCATTTATAATCATTCTTCCCATGTTCCATTCTTCCTTTCTCTCAGCACTCCCATTCCCCCAAAAATGTGAAAGCTTTTGAGAAAAATAAATTTTTATTTTTTATTTTTCACCAATTTTGAAACTTTTTTTATTTTATTTTTGTTTTTGTTTTTCATATTCATTGTTTGGGACATATTCTGCACAGGCTGATCAAGGCTCATGACTTCAAGTTTGTTTATTTGGGGCTCTGGAATCCAAAAAAGCAGCCACTTTTCACTGCTACCCACTGTACAATTGTCAACGGCTCATACTTCATGAATCATTATCTTGACACATGTCTCTGAGAATGCAAGCCAAATCAGCAACCCAAGAAACTACAAAGTGGTCAGGGCACAGAGCTTGGCATTGGCTGCAGTGATCTGGAAGCATATGCATGTAATCCCATGATCCCAGGTCTTGACTTGTAAACTAAGGTTAAAGGTTGTGACATGTACATTTCAGATCAGGGAATCAATTAACCACACCTCTATTGATGGAAATGGATAGACTGGTAGTGTACAAGATGTATCTTGTAATATGCTATCCTGTTCTGCATCTTGCTGGTACCCAGTATCCAACTGGGCATTTGCCACACAAATCAGGGGCCAGGTTGGAACCTCATTCTTTAAGGATAAAAGTGATTTGTTGTGTAACAAAGGAATCCAATATTCAATATGCAATATCTCCTCAGTGCACCTGGCTCCATGATTTGTGTGACATCCTTGATCCACATTGACATAACTTCTGATCTGGTAGAGATTTGAAGGTGGTACATTGAGAATTTGAGTGAATAGGGGTTAAATTAGCCGCAGATTCCATTTCTGATGTCCAGTTGTCCATATCTTGTAAACTTGAGTGAGAGAATATAACATACAGAGAAATAATGACCACACTGTGAGAACTAAGATCATCCAAGCTGAACTAAGTTGCTTGTTGTGAGAGTTCCTGCATGCAGGTCTGGGGGGCAGCCCAGTCTCACCAGAGAGTCTTACACAAACAGAGCTGGTCTCTGGATATCCGTTGCGGATATTCGTTATCCGCTGGCGGATACCCGCCCGCTGTAGCGGATACCCGTCAGCGGTTTTGGGATCGGGTGCGGATGTGTCCTTTCCGCTGATTTTCTACCCCGCCGGTTGACTGGAAGGGAATCCTTCCGGTCGACGAGGTACATGTACCTTGTCGACTGGAAGGAAATCCTTCCAGCCAACATGGTACATGAACCTCAACGGCTGGAAGGATTTCCTTCCGGCCATCGAGCATGTACCTTGCCAGCTGGAAGGAAACCCTTCCAGCCGACGAGGTACATGTACCTCAACGGCTGGAAGGATTTCCTTCCAGCCGCCTCGCCGGCCCTTTAAAGGGCGGGTATCCGTGGATACCCGCTCGGATACCCGCTGCGGCCGACGGATACCCGCTAGCGGGTGCGGATGCGGATGGCCATTTGGCCTGAAAAAGCAGCCGGATATCCGCATCCGCGCGGATATCCGGAAGCGTAGCGACCAGCTCTATACACAAACACACAAAGTTGACCAGAGCAAGATGGGATTTTGAGGCCTTTTTTGTAATTTCACATCTGGCTTCCATGTAATTCTTCTCAAAATTAAATTGCCCTGTTTTTGTTGCTCTTTGGCATCTTTCTGATTTTTCTGTATTTTTTATGATTGTATTTCCACACCAATCATTCTAAAAGAAATAAAGAAAAAAAAATAGAAATTCATATTTTACAGGCACAAAATATGCTACTACTGAGATTGAGCCCAAGCCTCTGCCAAATTTGAAAATCAAATTTGAAAATCATGAACTTGATCAGAAGATTTCTGATACCACCAAACTAGTTTTTGCAATAAAAAAATACACAAACCTTTCATCTACTAGAACTAAAAATAAATTTGACTTCAAGTGAATGAGTGGCAGGGCAAACAAGTTTTCCACCATCAAAACCTTGCATCCTGCTTATCCAAGAGCAATTCACTATAAAGATAGTCATTCTGGACCCTGGTACCAAGCGGTACCAGGGTACCTCCCCAAATTTGTGGCCAAATCAGGTACCTAGTACCGCACCTGGCACCTCCTGGGGGGTACCACGGGTACCTCTGGCAGGTACCACAGGTACCCCCTGTGCTAATTTGTCCCTCAGCTCAGTAAAATTCAGATTTGGTAACTGGAATCATTTTTTTCAATTACCAGCTATGTGTGGGTGTGC